TGAACAGACACTTCCCCCAAGAAGACATACAAATAGCCAAGAGATATACGAAAAGATGCTCAATCCCAATATTATGGAAATCACTAGTTATTATGGAAATGCAATCAAAGCTATGATGAAATACAACCTCACACCTATTAAAATGGCTATTATTAACAAGACAAATAATAACAAGTGTGGGAGAGGTTGTGGAAAAAAATGTAACCCTTATTCACTGTTGGTGGAAATAAACTAGTACTACCACTATGAAAAACAGAATGGCAGTTCCTCAAAAAATTAAGAAGAGTTACCACATGACCCAGCAATCCCTCTTCTGGGTTATCTACCCAAAAACCTCGATAATATCCTTGATAATATTGATTTGCAAAGGTATATGAACCCTATGTTCACTGCAGCACTATTTACCGTAGCCAAGACGTATAGATAACCAAAGTGCCCTTTGATAGATGATTGGATAAAGACGATGTAGTACATATATAATGCAATATTACTCAGCCATAAGAAAATATGAAATACTTCCATTTGTGACAACATGGATGGATCTTGAGAAAATCATGCTAAGCAAAATACGTCAGATGAAAAAATCAAGAACCATATGATTTCACCATACATGGGATAGAAAACTAAAAGCAATAAATGAACAAACAAGACAAAGAACAACAGCACGATGGTTACCAGAGGGGATGGGGGTGGAGGGAAGGTACTAAAGAGTGAAGGAGGTCAGCATATGGTGACAGTAGGAGATGTGACTTTGGGTTGTAATACAAATTGCAATATACAGATGATGCATCATAGAATTGTACACTTGAAACCTATATAATTTTATTAATCAATGTCACCCCAATACATTTAATCAAATGAAAAAAAAAGAAAAAGCCCAAGCCCAAATGGTTTCATTACAAATTCTATTAAATATTTAAAAAATTAACACTAACACTTCACAAACACTGGCAAAAAAATTAAAGAGAAGGAAACATTTCTCAACTCATTCTATGAGGCCAAGTATTGCCCAGGTACCAAAACTGGACAAAGACATCGCAAAAACAGAAAACAACAAATATCCCTCATGAATACAGGAACAAAAAAACTAAAAAATAAATCAACAAATCGAATCTAGCAGCATATAGAAAAGATTATGGACCATGACCAAGAAGGTTTCGTTGCAGGACTGCAAGTTTCAACAGATACAAATTAATCAATGTACTGTACCATAATAATAAAGAACAAAAACCACACTATTATCAATAGGTGCAGATAAAAACATCTGACAAAATCCAATACCTATCATAACAAAAATACTCAACAAACTAGGAAAAGAGAATTTCCTCAATCTGATAAATGGTATCTATAAAAATACCTCTGGCTAAAAATCACACTAAATGTTAAAGAGTAAAAATTTTCCCCCTAGGATCAGGAACACGACAAGGGTGTCTGCTCCCACCATTTCTATTCATCAATATACCAAGGATCTAGTTAGAGTGATTATGCAAGAAAAAGAAATAAGGGCATCCAGACTGGAAAGTGAGAAGTAAAACTATTTATATTTGAAGATGATATATTCTTGTATATACAAAGTCTTTAAAATCCGCACACAAAAAAATTATTTGGATTAATGAGTTCGCCAAAGTTGCATGATACAAACAAAATCAGTATACAGAAATTAGTGGTATTTCTACACATGGGAAACGGTCTGAAAATGAAGTTAAGAAAACAATTCCACTCACAATAGCACCAAAACAACAAAACACTTAGGAATTAATTGAACAAAAGAAGTATATGACTGGACTTAGAAAACTACAAATCCATTCTGAAAGGAATTAAAAACCTAAATATTTTAAAAGACAACTTGTTTTCATGAATCAGAAGACTCACTTTTCTTAAGAAGCCAGTATTTCCCAACTTTATCTAGATATACTACATAATCCCTATCCCAGTCCTAGCTGGAATTTTTGCAGAAATTGACACATTGATCCTTAAACACATAAGGAAATGAAAGTGATGCAGAATAGCCCAAACAACCTTGAAAAAGACAAACAATTTCAAAATTTACCACAAAGCTACAGTAATCAAGACAGTATAGTACTGGCGTAAAGAATGACATATAAATCAACAGAATAAAGACTTCAGAAACAAACCCTCACATTTATAGTCAACTGACTTACTACAAAGATTCAAGGCAATACAATGGGGAAAAGAGAGTCTTACCAACAAATGGTAATGAACAACAGGATATCCACAAGCAAAAGAATGTAGTTGGACCCTGATCTCATAGCATATATAAAAATTAACTTAAAATGCATCAAAGATCTAAATATAAGAGCTAAAACTGTAATACTCTTAGAACAAAATAGAGGATTAAATCTTCGTGACCTTGGGCTGGGCAATGGTTTCTTATATATGATGCCAAAGCACTAGCCACAAAAGAAAAAATAAACTGGATGTCATCAAAATTAAAATTTTCATGTATCAAAGGACATTACACAGAAAGTGAAAAGACAACATACAAAATGGGAGAAATTACTTGCAAATCATGCACTGATAAGGGATATATAAAAGGGTCCAGAATATATTAGATAACACTTCACATTCATCAGCACAGTTAAAATCAAACAAATAATAGCACATAGTAAGTGTTGGTGAGAAAGAATGTGGATAAACTGGAACTCTCATACATTCTTAGTGGAAATTTTAAATGGTGCAGTTGGTTGGAAAAACATTCTGGTAGTTTCTCAAAAAGTTAAACATAGAATTATCATTTAACCCAGCATTTGGGTGAGTATAGATACACACTCAAAAGAAATGAAATCACATATCTACCCAAAAACCTGTACATAAATGTTCACAGCAGCACTATTCACAATAGCTAAAATATGAAAACAAGCCAAATATCATAAACTGTTACATGCATACAGTGGAATATTATTCTGGTATAAAAAACGAAGTTCTGATACATGATAAAGCACAAACAAAACCCTGAAAATATACTAACTGAAAGAAGCCAGACAAAAAGAGTGACATATTATATGATTCTATTTATATGAAACATCCAAATAGGCAAATCCATAAAGTCAAAAATAGATTCGTAGTTGCTAAGGACTCAGGGAAGAGGGATTAATTGCTAATGGCTACAGGGTTTCTTTTTGGAGTGATGAAAATATTCTGCTTTAGACAGTGATGACTGTGCAACCTTGTGAATATATTTTTAAAAAAACCCACTGAACTGTATAATTTCAAAGAGTGACTATATCGCCAAAAAAAAAAAAAAAAAAAAAAAAGAAAGAGAAAGAAAGAAAAAGGAGCCAGAACCTGTGGTTATGACCATATAATTGTAGGGGTTTATAAAATCACCTCATTCCATTTCTCAAATTTTACAAAAAAAACCCCTGAGATACAAGTGATGAACTAGATTATCCGTAGCCCTAAAGTCTGTTAAGAGTAGAACTGGAATTGGTATACAAAGTATATCTACCTCCATTCTAACATGGGTAAAAAACAAACCCCCTTTAATAAACAGATCTATTCATAAGGGACTTCATCCTTTAAAAATGTTAAAATTTGTGTACTGAATTTCTACCGCCTCTGACCTTGATTCTTAATCATTAATAAGTATTTTGTTAAAGGCAAAACAGCAACTTCACTGTTATTTTAAAAAGCACTTCAAAAAGTTAAAATTTTCTTCAACTATCATTCACAGTTTAACATATTTCAGATACTTAATGAAACATTAGTTAATTGGGATTTCAGAAAATCCCATAGCACTGAATTTCTGAAATGCTGAGCTTACTTTGCAATGCTTCACACTTATGCAAAAACACTAAAATATTTCATATTGAGTTTTTCAAAAGTTAAACACTACTACTGTGGGGGGAGGGGCATAGGTAGACGTGGGAGAGGGTATAAGGGGAATAAATGGAAATGGAAAAAATACAATTAAAAAAATCAGTTGTTGAATGAAAAAAAAAGAACAGGACACTACTACCATTGAGAGTTTTGGGTCTATATTTCCTCTCATTGAATCTAGAGAGAACTGTGGCTGGTTCAACCAATAGAATACGGTGAAAGTGACCTTTCTAAATTCCTGACCCAGAGAATCAGTGAGCTAACTAAAATGATTATTGTTTCATGTCACTTAATTTGGAGTGGTGTGTTATACAGCAAAGATAATTGGAATAGCAAATACGATTTTTATAATAAAAACAAGCAATTCTTGTTTCCTCTTTGCATAGCACTCTGGAATCATACACATTTCCTCACCAAAAAAAGCAAAAATGAAAATACATGTATATATAAACATGTATTTTTAAAAGTCAAGAAAATTACATGATTTTTCAATTATCTAAAAATATAACAATATCCTGGTATGTTACAGAATTCAGAATATCCCCAGAAGACATCATGAATATAGGCACATACATCAGCTTAGGCTTCCAAAAACTGTGGTTCTTAAAGTTTAGATGAAATTCCAGGTGATATTTCCTGAATGGTCGGTCTTGCCTTTAATAGGGTGTAACCAAAAGCAACCATTTTCTGATTACCTAGGTTGTTCTCATTGAGAATAAGTTTGGACTAGTTGGTAAGTTAGAAGTGTCTCATACTTCTTTCAAGACTATCTTTTAAGTAAGTGACAAATTCTGGCTCTCTACACATACTGTGTGATCTCAGAGGAATGAAGAATTTCTTGGGGCTTGTCTGTATCTTATTTGATCTGATTAGGATGATTTTAAGGATTAATGAGAGAAGATATATATGAAAAGTCCTGAGCACTGTATTAGGCACAAAAAAGACACAATCTCTGAAATCTAACTTTAGGACTCAAGACAATATATTGCTTAGTATCTGCAAAAGAGAATCCATACTGATAGTAATCACATGAATTTCTAAGTTTTATTTTGCAAATTTTAGTGGACTGTTTTAAAAGTTAAGCTTATTATAAAGCATAACAAATTTATGCTAGGTAAAGGAATATTTCAGTATAGAGAAGGCAATTTACAAATATTTACCTTGATCAAATATTTTTCCCATCTGTCTGCTGTAACGGATTTGCCAATCTTCCTCATCAACTTCAAATGGAGTTCCACCAATTCTTTCGGTACTTAAAAGGAATAAAAAAAATACTGTTAGCCAGCAAAATAAAAATTTTGTAAACATGAAAAATTATAGAAAAAGAACTTTTCCCCAACACTGAGCAATTTTTCAAAAAAGGTGTCAGTTTTATCTATCTTTTATATCTCTGAATCAGAAAAGACTAAACTAGGGCAAAAAACAACTGAAAACTACTTAAAGATAAGTAGGTATATCACATTTTCTTTCAAAACACCATCAGAGAAAGGAGAACTCTACTGTAAACTGCAGGCTTTTGGGTGAGCCTTGAAGTGTCAATGTAGGTTCATTGATCATAACAAATGTTATCACTGAGGTACAGGGTGTAGAAAGTGGGGGAAGTTGTGCATATGAGAGGGAAAAGGGAATGTGGGAACTCTCTATACTTTGTGTTCAATTTTTCTATGCATCCAAAACTGCTCTAACAAATGAAGTCTATTTTTTTTTTTAAAAAAAGCCCATCAGGTGTAAGTACTTAACTTTCTCATCCATTTCCCATAACACATATTTGGTTTCTTTACTAAGACTGAAGACCAACATAAATTCACAGATTTAAAAAGGAATCAAGTAACAGCCCTGACCAGTGTAACTCAGTTGATTGGGTGTCAACCTGGAAACCGAAAGGTCACAGATTAGAAACCTGTTCAAGGCACTTGCCCAAGTTGTGGGTTCAGCCCCTAGTCTGGGGACATGCAAGAGATAAACCAATCGATGTTTCTCACATCAATGTTCTCCTCCCTCTCTTCCCCTCCCTCTACAATCAATAAAAGGGGAAAAAAAAAAAAAGGAATCAAAGAACATACATTCCAAGTTGATAGATAGCTAAGAAACAGTTTAACAGTTTTCAAACTTTCGGAAAACTACTCTTCCAATTCATCCCTTATGTATTGTGCTAAACTCCTCTATGGCATCTTTATAGATAGATGCTTGACAACCTTCAAGAATGAAAAATTTACTTACCTTCTAAAGTTCTAATTATTAGAAAGTCACCCTTACACAAAAATCAAAATCTGCCTTTCTCCCTGGTTCTTGATTTTATTGCCTTATACTTTCTTCTTCTATTGGAATCTTTAAATATTTGAAGATTGCTATATCTTCCCTAAGATTCTCCTAACTGTAAACAATTGGGGTTCCTCCAAATATCCCTTGGGCATGACCTAATTATATTATTTAATTATATTAGTTAGAACTATGGGAAATGAAAGACACACACATGACAGTCAAGTTTAGCCATTTCCCAAATACCAAATATCATCAGTAACCCAAGAGAAATTATAGGTATACTATCCACAAGGCTCCACATTCAAATACTTGAGAAAAATGTTAGATTAAAAAAAAAATTATTTTTGACCTCAGGACTTCTTAAAGCCTTTACTGATTGTACCTATTAGCATTATGAATATTTAAGACAGGGACATAATTTGCAGTACTTTTCAATATATTTGATCGTGGAACATTTTTTGTGAAACACAGAATCTTGTAGGATACAAGTGCTCTGAAGTACAGTTGGGGAAATGATGGACTAATTTTTTTCAGTTAATTCTTTCAGACTATTCTCCAGTAAAGCTAGTTTCAACTTGAAACAACCTTTAAATACAAAAACACTGAGCCATTCAAAAAAAATTTTGTGGGTCCACTATTAGTAATCAAGAAATAGTTTCTGCCCTTAGTGGGCCTATTTAAGTAAGCCTTGTTAGGGGTTAAGACCAGTGGTGAGTTGGAGGTAAAGAGAGAAGTTCGGAGGGGTGGTTATAGACCAGTAAACAGACAATTATATTAAGCCAAGACTTGAAACATGGGATAGAGGGTGGAGTAGAGAAAAGGAGAAAGGGCACTGCTTACAGAATTAATTGCAGATGCAAGAAACTGAAAAACGAAGTGATTGTAATCTGAAGGTATGAACACAGAAAAAGGACATGATCATGAAGAGCCTTGTAAGACTAAGATGTTTACATTTTATTTAAAAATATAGGCAAGACAGTGAGTGCTTTGAGACAGGAATATCTCACTAAATGAATTTTAGGAAAACAGATTGCTTTTACTTGCTTGTTTGTTTTAGGAGGTGGAGGTACAGGGCAGAGATTAGATGTAAATTCAGAAAAATATCAATCAAGAAAGATGACAGTCACTTGAACTAAGGTAGAGGCGGTACAGAGAGAAGTTGGCAGGTCTGAGAAATGTTTAGGAAACAAACAATAAAACTTAGTGATAAAGGGTCAAGGAAACCTGAGGCACTGGCCTCCAAAGTGAAGTAGATGCCAAAGATAATATGTTAGGAGAAAAAGATTGGGCTCAATTCTCAATCCCACCACTTAATACAAGACTATAATTCTGGTCAAATTCTATGAACACTGAATCTCAAATTCCTCATGTGTAATAAAGGGCTGCGCTAGCTATCTTACAGTTTCAAAACTGTAAAACATTATAGACAGCTAAACATCTTTATTTTTATTTTTGTTGTTGATATTTGGAGAACCAAGGTCAGTTTCAATTTCTCCTTTTCACTTTTCCCCAAACACTAAGTCCTGAAGATTCTACCTGTGTCTCAAGCTTGTTCCCTATTTCCCCCCAATTTCTCTAGGGTATCACTGTTCCTTCTCACTTCAGAAAAATAGCTGTGGGTAATCTCCTGTAACCAAACCAATCCTCCAAAAACATTGCTTTCCTGTCTCTTCTACAGTTCATAAATATCTTTTATAGCCCCTAAATACCTACATAAACTCATCCAGATTTTTTTCCCATAGCCTCAGAGCTCCAATACTCGCTATTAACGTAACTCTCCAATCCTCCTCTCACATTTCTCCACTGAAATCCTTGATTCAAATCATTATGGCTAGAACACTATCCACTAAGCATACCCAAGTCTATTACCTTTCTTGGCTTTATTCCAGCCCTCCAGTTTACTGTTTTATGCCCACTTGAAACATACACATCTTTCAATTTCTGGTAAATAAAAATCCCAAAAGTCTCTGAGATAGCTTTCCAATGATTCCAGTGCACAGTTTTGTCCTTGGAACACCCATAGCATTAATACTGTCGGTATCACTCATTCAGGTGGCTAAAAGCTTTGCATTACTTGTGCACAGCCTCCATATCATAAAGATACACGAAATCACCAAAAAGTTGATACAATTCCAACTATTTTTAAAAATCAAAGGTGAAAATATATGCAAAAAATGTTTTTTATCCCACTTTACAAATGTAGCCATTGTTGATTTAGGCATGTAGTAATAGATTATATATAACTTGATTCACTTGTTAGAGCACTGGCTCTTGCAAAGCACTGTACAATAGAAAATAAGATGAGCCACATGACGTCAAATTTTCTAGTAGTTCACTCATAGAGGTAAAAGAGGTCAAAATTAATTTTAATAATGTATTTTATTTAACACTATGTATCCCAATGTTATTTAAACATATAATCCATATTTTAAATTGTATATATTTTACTTTATTGATTTTTAAAAATTTTTTTAATTGAAGTATAATTGACATATAACATTATATTAGTTTCAGGTGTACAATATGATTTGATATGTGTACACATCGAAATGATCACCACAGTAAGTATCGTTAACATCTGTCACCTTACATAATTACAAAAAATTTTTTTGTGATGAGAACTTTTAAAATCTATTCTCTTAGCAACTCTCAGATATGCAATACAATATTAACTGTAGTGACCATGCTGTACATTTAATCACCATGACTTATTTACTTCATAACTGGAGTTTGTACCTTTGGGACCCCTGTCATCCATTTTACATGCTTTTTTTGTACTAAGCATTCAAAATATATTGTGCATTTTACCCTTATAGCCAACTCAATTCACACTAGCCATATTTCAATTGCATAAGAGCTCTACAGGGCTGGTGGCTGTTATACCCGATCAATCATATAAGGTTAGAATATTTAAAACAAAACGTATAATCCACAATTTACTTACATGTTTGTGAGATATAAGTGGTATGCAACATTATATTAATTGCAGGTGTACACCATAATTCAGTATACCATAATAACTCAGTATTTGTATATATATGGGAAGTAGTTAACATAATCTAGCTAACACCCAATTTATTATATTTGTTGTTAAAAACAGAACTGACAAACTGATAACCTTTAAGGATACTAGCAGCTCTAAATATTTTGTCAATTAATAATAAATGGGCAACAATGTCAACAGAAAGATTAATCGACATTACAGTTAAATTGAAAATATTAAAATTCCCATATTTTGCAGTCATCCCTTGGTATCCATGGGGCTTTGAAGCCAGGATCCCCAGGATACCAAAATCCACAGATGCTCAAAGTGCCTTATATAAAATCACATTGTATTTGCATGTAACTTATGCATACTCTCCTCTATACTTTATATCATCTCTAGATTACTTATAATACCCAATACAATGTAAATAGTTTTATACTGTATTGTCTAGGAAATAATGGCAATAAAAATTCTGTACATGAAGTTCAGCACAGACCCAGCCACTGTAAGTCTAACTACATAATACACGTCAGCAACAATTAACATTTCTTAAAAAATACTTTCCATCAGCAGTTGGTTGAATTCCAGATGCAGAACCTGAAGATACTGAGTGCTAACTGTACTTCTAAAAACGATGCTGTATATTCAATAGACCGTCCTATGAAAATGGAAATATTCTATATATTCACTTTCCAATGCAGTAGCTATTTTAGCTACTAGCTACATGTGACTACTGAGCACTTGATATGTAGCAAATAAAACTAAGGAACTAATGTTTAATTTTATTTGTTTTTAATTAATTTAGACTTAAATAGCCACACAGGGTGAGTGGCTATGGTTTTGGATAGTACAGCTGAAAATTATCAATCATATTTTAAAAATATATGATCATTTTCTAAAATATACAGAGAATCTGCAAACTCACTTATTACCTGACACATTTTCTAAATACATAGTCTCATTTCCAGAACATTACGTAATTGTTAACATCCTTCTAAAAAATT